AGCTGTCCCAGTGCCCCAGGCTGGCTCTGCCCTGGGCTGGAGGGGTTCCCTCACAGCCTGGCACTGCGAGCTCAGGACATGGGGCTGGGCTGAGCACCCCAGGAGGGACCTGTGGCCATTGGGGACAGGCAGGGTCAGGGCTCTCAAAGGCACTTCTCCAAGGATGATGTGTTTGCTGGCGGGAGTTAAAAACAAAAACGCTTTTGGCTGGAGGAGGGTCTGTTTTGATAGAAGAGCTGATGTTCTGGAACTGGAACACCTCACACAAACAGAGGAATTGAAGATGAATCACAGCTACCTGCTGGGCAAACCCAACACCAGGATCTGCTGCCCAGAGGAGACAGTAATCATGGTTCTGTCCCACCTGGCATTGGAGGAGCCAGAGGGCCTGAATTCAAAATCGTTTGGACAAATTGGTGAGTTGGCTCCAAAACAACCACCTGGAACTAAATAAAGAAGAGCATGAATTACCAGCTTCAGGAAGAAGGTAAACACATTACTGCAAATGGGAAGTAATTAGTGAGGCTGAAAAGTTTATATAAATGTAGCTGGGCTTCATTTTTGCAGTGAATGCTCGTTGCTCTGGTTAATTATTTGGCCCTACAGAGGCATTCCTGGAGCCTGCACTGGGGATTTCATTGCAGGTATTTGGTGGGAGAGAAATGGGGGCTGTGTGGAAGAATCCTCACCTGTGTGGGCATTCCCAGACACATCTGCTTAGATACTCACGCACATCTACTGAATTATCCTGAGGACTGCAGCCTCCTTCGTGTCACTTGGCTAAGATTGTTGTAGTGATGAGCAAAACGTGACTCACTTTCCTTTATATACATATGCAAATAAATGTAGAATTTGCATATGAATATATTAAACCAGACTATATTCTGGTTTTGTTCTGACTCTTCTATCTTTACCTGACAAAATCTCAGCTAGGTCTTGTAATTTATATTTTGTTCAAAGAGAAGAGTGCCTCCCTTTAGTGGGCAGAGGCATCAGTGTGTGTGCAGGGGCTGCAGGCAGTGCTGTGCCTGGCGTTAGCTGGGGATCCATTCCTGTGGCTCTGGGAAGGTTTAGTGAATATCCCAGTCCAGGAGGTGACACTGGGTGTGGCACTGGGTGTGGCACTGGGTGTGGCACTGGGTGTGTGGCTCCTGCAGCCCCTGTCTGTCACTGCTGCAGCTGTGGGTCCCAGGGCTCTGGGTCTCGCTTTGCTTTTTGTTCCTTGATGGTGACTGGGAGTTCAGGGCACTGCAATGAACAGCTTGAGGTTGCACACAAATGCAGTAATTCCCCCCAAAAGTAGTAAAATGATTGTGTTATCTCCCAACAGCTTGAACCTGAAGCCTTTGTTAAAAACCACATGATACATATTTCAACTTTATTATCCCAACTTGTTACTCCCAGGCTCTGGGCAGGCTCCATTGGTTTTATGGGCTTTGAGGCCATAATGGGATGAAGCAGGAACGTTTTAGCACAAGCAGTGTCCTTGGGAGCCCTGTGCAGGCCTGGGAGAGCTCTGCCCCCTTTGCTGGGCGCGGGGCGCGGTGGGCGGGTGGGAGAGGGGAATTGCACAGAAACCACCCTGCATCCGCGCTCTGAGGCTGTGCCCAGCCCGGGTGGCACTGTCTGGGTGACAGCATCAGCCTGCGTTATCGCATCAGCAGGATCCATGGCCTGCTCTCTCTAAGTGGGTTTGAGCTGCTTGATTTGATCAGAGCCCTGCTGCAGTGTCCCGGGGCTCGCCCTGGGGCAGGGGTGGCACCTCAGAGTGCTCTGGGATGTGTCTGCAGCGTTTCACGTGGCGTGCCAGGGATTGTGGGGATGGAAGTGTGTGCTGGCTCAATGCCAGCAGGTCCAGGCTCTTTTCCCAGGGTTTAGCTCCCAAAGCTGGATGAGCCTGACTCGGGCTCCAGTGCTGCTGTGGGCTGGAGGCCATGGGAGCACAGGCTGATGGATTTCAGTGAGCTGGGGACCCAGAGGAAATGGTTGGAATCCCACAAACCTTTTAGGGACATGATGTGAAAGGTTCTCTAGCACTGAATAAGTTTAGTGTAGTCCCACACTTCTTTTCTCTTCACAGTGGGGAAGAAAAAAGAAATTATCTCGATATGTGCATGAACTCATGTAAATTCTCTTTCTGCTGTGAATGCTTTATAGAACTCGAGACTGCAGCATCCAAGTAGATCCTCCCTTCTCCATTTGTCTGCATACACAAGTCAGCTTCTCTGGCTCCTTCTCCCTTCCCAGTGATGTTCTGATGACTCAGGTTCCAAAACCCTCCCCAGCCATGGCACAAGTCTGACAGCCAGGTGGTGTGACAGGCCAGCAGTTCTGGCACTGACTATGGCTGCAGGGTTTTTTCTGATTTGGTTTTTTTTTCCCCTAATTGTGATCAATCTGAGGATTAGGTTTTTGGCTGGGGTTTTTGTTGTCATTGTTGTTTTTCAGCTAACAAAAAGAAGTACCATGGCCAGAGGATGGAGCAGGCAGGTGTGATGGATGACACAGCATTACCCAGCAGTGTGACTGTCACCTGCAGCTGAGCACACGGGTCTGGACTGGCTTATGTTCCCCTGAGCGGTGAACTCAGTAACACAAGGAATTGGGTGCATGGGTTTGGGACCAAACAATCCTGTGCATTGCTGATATTTCCACGTTTTGTCTCCAAAGCCTTGTCTCCTTTGGTGCAGATTACAATATTGATTGTGTATTTTTCTGGAAATCAGCACACCAGCTGGTGAGCTATGGAGGAATTTGGTATCAGACTTGAGAATTTACTCATGTGCGCATTTAAGAAAGACACAGAAAAGTTGTAATTTACTGTGCCCTCAGGATGTTCCCAAGCCTGGTTTAACACCCAGCATCCATCAGCTCTGTGTTGAAGCACAGGTATGCCTTTGCCATGAAGAATGTCCATGGCACTGCTCATCTCCCTGGTTTTAGTAGATTTACCAGAGTCAGCCTTCCTGCAGGCTGAGTGCAAGAGATGAGGACTAGTTAAAAATGCTAGGATAAAGAGAAATTCCCATGCAAGAGCAGCCAGGTACCATTCCCTGGCTCTCCAGCCTGCTGTGGGCTGCAGCCATGCACGAGTTCATGGGCAGCTGCAGTTCCATCTGCAAAGCTGTGGCCTGGGCTTGACATTTTGCCAGCCCTCTTCTGTCCTGGGGACCATAAAGTTGTGATTCCAGATAGCTATTGGAAAAACAGCTATTTCAGATCCAGCAGTAAACCAAAATGCAATTAAATTTAGCTTTAT